TATTGCTTTGAACCCCCAGTGAAATAATGGCTGTGTCACTTCCAATGATCCAACAGAAAAGCAAACGTCGCTCGTTCCTCTCTGGGCTCTGTGTGTGCTGGACGAGCAGGAAATTAACAGCTGGCAAAAGGTCTGGGGTTCTTGGATCTTTGCTTTAGGGTTTAATTCATCGTTCCTCATCTCCCCTGCTGGAATGGGCCCCCACAGCTCACCTGTGCTGCTGGGACAATGCTTTGGGTTGGAAGGCACCTTTCAAAAGCCATTTATTCCACCCCTGCAGCGAGCCAGGGACATTTTCATCTGCTCAGAGCCCTGTCCTCTCGGCTCACACCTCCAGGGGTGTCCAGATGTGTTTTACAGAGTCCCAGGAGCACAGACTGCTTTGGGCTGGGACCTGGGGGGCTCCTGGTGCCTCCTGCAAGGCTGAGCTGTAAAGCTTTGGAGCAGGAGGATCTGCAAACAGGCTGCCAAACGAGAGCCTTGAACAGTAAATCAGCCGTGGCCAGGGAAGTACAGAGCCTATTTCATGCTAGGATTCTTTTACATTAAATATACTTATTTCTGCCTTGTTTGGAGCTGGGCAGCTCCCCAGCTGGGTATTCAACTGCGAGATCTGGCATGCTTTCACACTACTGTTTTCTTTTTCCCTGGCATAATTCATTTGGTAATGTTTTCATGGATGCTCTAGAAATTCTGCTGCAATTCCATCCCTCAGCCAAGCTGTGAGGGACGAGGGCTGGAGATGCCTATCAGCTCCAGAGCAGCAGCAGCTTATCTTCAGCACTTGGATTCACTTTGATTTTCAGTAAAGCTGTGGTCAGCAGTTGCTTAGGAGGGATTTTCCAGGTAAAGTTGCCTTTTTGATATTGTTCTGGCTTATAAATTCATAATTCCTACTGTGTTTAAATGATAAAAGGACACAGATATAGTCAAAATCGTCTTCCTCTGAGGAGAAACAAGTACTGGTGCTTCTGTAATGGTGAGAATTAGGAAGAGAGGAGGATTATTCCCTGAGGGATTTCCCAGGGCAGCCTGTACCAACCCTCACCAAAGCCAAACCAAGGGATAAGGTGAACTCAGTCAGTTGTAGGCTGCTCCTTCCTCCAGCTGCACAGAAAAGGTGACCTGAGAGCAACTGGTGGCAGGAATATTCCTCACAACAACAGCAGGCCCTGCCCAAGGAAACAGGAATGTTTGTGTGGCCTCAGGAACACGCTAAGGAGGTTATTTAACATGCAGAGGGTGGAGAATACTTAATATATTAACACACTGGTTCCATTTATTCCTCCTGGCTTGGATCAACTTCTCAGCCTGTAGGCAGTTAAAACAGATGGTCTGAATTTGGGTAACATTCAGACCTTGAGTTGGAGCTAAAAATGGAATTTCATTGGCAAGAAAAGTAGGTCAGAAAGCTAAAGCCCCTAGTCCTAAAATGATGAAAGGCTTCTAATCAAGTGCTCCCTATTACCATTCATTAAAGGGAGCAGGGGAAGAAATGTCTTTGGAGCCCTTTGCAGTGGGGTTTCAGTGAGGATCCTGCTCCCTGCAAGATCTGTTTTGGTGGGAGATGGGATGGGCAGCGATTGCCAGGGTCCTGCAGGATGGGAATGCTTTTCTTCATGGGCACGGAACAATTTACCCTGTGCTCCAGTCTCAGGAGGGCAGAGAGGATCTGCCAAGCCTCAGTTCATGTCCCCACGCTGTCTCTGTCCTCCTGCCTCAGGTTCTGGGCTCTGGGGGCTCTGCAGGCTGGGACTCGCACAGAGCTGAGTCTTTACAGGGCTTGCTTTGCTCTCCATCCCTCCCAGCGTGTCCAGCTGCTGCAGCCTGGCTTTGCTGGCACTGCCAGGGATGGTTCTGAGCAAATGGGGAGCCTGTCCCAGTGCCCCCAGTGCTCCCAGTGCCCCCAGTGCCCCCAGTGCAGCTCAGGGCTCCCAGTGCAGCTCAGGGCTCCCCAGTGCATCTCAGGGCTCCCAGTGCTCCCAGTGTTCCCAGTGCTCCCAGTGCCCCCAGTGCTCCCAGTGCCCCCCAGTGCTCCCCAGTGCTCCCCAGTGCCCCCAGTGCAGCTCAGGGCTCTCATCCCAGCTCCTGCTGCCGGGAGGATGGCGATGTGCTGGCTCAGAGGTGCTTCTGGAAGGTTCCAGCTGCTCTCTGCTCTGGCACAGCCTGGCCCAGGCACAGCCTGGCTGGGGAATTGCTGCATTTCAGCCCTGCCAGCACTTCCAGAGAGGCTCAGAATGTCCTGCCTGCCCTCCTGGACTGGGTGTTCCCACCAGCACCCCCAAACTGCAGCTTACTGCCTCATACCCATCCCCCTGGAGGAAAACAGATGTTGCCTCTTTTTGTGATAGCTCGAGTTTTTCCATTAAACTTGTTAAAGCACTGGATATTTTCTAACAGGAAAAAAGGGGAATTCTAAACTGTTGATCTAAGTTATTCAGAGAAAAAGTGGAATTTACTTCAATGTAGAACCAATATAAGAAAAGCTGAATTTCACTTTGGAGAAAATACCTCCAGTCTTAAAAGGCAGTTAAGTGTGGAGGTTATTCATGATGTTTATAAATTCAGCTTTTCAGAGGAAGCTCTATTCCCTTTAGTTCTTGCCAAGCTGATAGATCTGGCAAAAAGTAATCTCAGGGTTTTTTTGCTTTATGTCATCTTAGATTTTGATCCTCAGATCTCAGTTTCAGCAGTGATAGATGTATCAGAAGAAGCTCTCTAAGACTTTTTGTTTGGGTGTTTTTGTTAGCCTGCTGAATTTAACAGCATTCTTGGCTGGGCAGGTCTTTCCTTGACCTGAGCTCAGGGCACTGTGGGCACCTGGGGGGCTCTGGGGAATCCACTGTCAGCAAAACTGAAAAATGCAGGAATATTCACAAGGGACTGTTCAGCTCCTCAGCTCACCATTATCCCTGCAGGAAAAGCTCCCTCATTTATCATAACAGTGGGGATTTATTGTCATACATGAGCTACAAAAGTCTCTTTGGCTCTTTCTTTCTGTGCTGACAAAAGCCCACCCTGCCCACGTCCTGGGGTTTTTCCCAGTAAGGGTGAGGGTGTGATACAGTTTTCAAAAGCTCCTGTTCCCTTGGTAATTGGAGCTTTTCACCCTGAACCTGACAGCAAGTTCTTCTTGGTCAATATTTAATTTAATTTAAATTCCGATGTGGACACTAATTACTCCAAAATCCAGTTATGGGAATTAGGTCTGGGCAGTACAGGGCACTCAGAGCCAGGGCTGGGCAGGGCTGTGAGGAGGCACTGGGGCTGATTTGGGGTTTATCTGTGTTTTACCCAGGTCAGTGAGGGCTGATTTTGAGTTTACAAAGGAGCTAATTACCCCTTCCTCAGTGGGGTAATTTAGGATTCTGAGCTACAGAAAGTTACAAAGATTTACTGGAGGTCACATTAAATCCCACGAACTCGCAGCCTCCTGTTGTGTTCGTGCAGCTCAAACACCCCCTTAGACCCTCTGAATGTTAATTATTACCCAATTCCTCCATCCTCTCGCTGCTCTAATGAGATTATTGATGAATTGCTTAAAATGCACTTTCTGGAGAAGTTTTTTAGATGACAAGTTGCCTTTTACTAAACAAATTAATGGGAAAGTTGAGTTCTCTCATTCCAGTCTGGGGAAAAGTTTTGGGTTTGAAATGCCTAATTAGCACTAACTGAAATCCAATAGCTGAGTTTATTTGGCACTGTACCTGATATAAATATGCCACAGGGCCATTAGTACCTTGTGGTAGCATCAGGACAGAAATAGTCTCTCTGGCAATTAATATTGCAGGAGCTGTGGATGTCAGGGGAGGAGCAGAACAATTGCAGCTCCAGAGGCTCGTTCCTGTCAAAGTCAGAGAGAGGCCCCTCCATCAGTGCCAGGGGATGGACGTGGAGCTCCAGCTGGGTTTGCCTCTGATGAACAAAGCTGAGATATTCCAAACTCAGGGCTGACATTTCCACGTCACAGGTCAGCCCAGAGATGTTCCCAAGTGCCTGCTGTCCAAGGCAGCAGATCCCCAGAGGGAGGATCCAGGAGAATCCTCCACGGAGAGCTGCAGTGGACACAGGGTCCCCAGTGCCAGGTCCTGTCCCTCAGCCACCACTGAGCTCTTCTTCTCAGCAGCTTTGCAAATGAACTTCTCCATCTCCCCACAAAATCCTTCCTGCTCCCAGGGTTTGATCTCTCCTGGAGGTGTTTTAAAGCACCTTCTCTGAAGTCCCAGCTAAGGAGCTAACTCTCAGTCTGCATGTAAGAACAAAACTCCCTGAGACAGACTGTGTGCCAGACACTTCTTATTATACTCTCTGCAAATGCACAGAAGGGCTTTTTCTCCCTGCTCCAGGTCACTGAGATCATGTTTGAGGCATATGATTAATTTTCAGCCTTATTGTGTTAAGGGCCAGCAGGAGAAAAGTGAGATTTTTTTTTTAGACCAGTGTTAAATGAGGTAGAAGAACTTGTCACTTAGCAAGAGCTTTGAAATGATCTTTGCATAAAGCAGCAGCTAAAAAGTTAACAGACATGAAGAGCAACCTATTGATTTGAGGTGTTCTGAGGGGTTTTGATGTGGATGAGGACAGGAGAAGGATTCTGGTCAGGATAAATAAGCCTTGGTGAATGGTGCCTGAAGCAGTTAACATGCAAGGAGTGAGTCCTGCTCTCACTCAGCCCCTCATGCCAACAAGTTCTTGCACGGGGACAAGAAGTTCAGCTGATAAAAAGGTGGTTTGAAATGTTTGTTTTTTCTCTTGGATGTAAATTATTCTTAGCTGAACTCTATTCCTCTCAAAGCTCTTTGTTGGTCATGGACTGACATCAAATGTAAAAATAAAGTTTCAATTGTGATAAATCATTTCTCTTTACAACATTTGTTGCAGTGAGCACCAGAACATCTCAAAGGTAACCACAGAAATCCCAAATACCATCTGATAGCAACCAGGGGCTTCTCTAGATTGCAGTTTTCATCTTTTCTCCACGGCAGAGGGGCTCCAGCCCTCAGAGCATCTCCATGGCCTCCTCTGCACTCGCTCCAGAGGCTCCACACGCTCTTTATACAATACAAATTACAGCACAAGATTGTTGGGTCCAACCCAATGCAGAGCTTTGTATGAATATTTTACAGCTGGTCTCACGTCCCTGAGAATTCACCTTTTACCGAATGCAGACTTTGAACAACCCCCGAATTTCTGACTGTGCAGATGGCAGGGAAGCTGCTGGGGTTTGAAATGGAAGTGTAAATCCGTCCTCATTTGCACCTGGATACCAGGGAATGAAAATATATGAACCTGCTCCCCAGCAGACGCAGGGTTTGAAGTTTGCTGAGCTCATCTGCACGGAGAGGTGGGTGCAGAAGGAGCGAGGATGTGAATTTCAACACCCAGCAGCTGCCTGAAGCAGCATCTCTGTTTTGTGCCACAAAAGTGCCTTTCTTTGGTGAGCCCAGCTGGAGCGGGGGCCCGGCACCGCGAGCTGTGCCAGGGCCCTGCCGAGCTCCCCCTCTCTGTTTGTGCCCTGCAGTTATGGTGACATGGTGCCCAAGACCATCGCTGGCAAGATCTTCGGCTCCATCTGCTCGCTGAGCGGGGTGCTGGTCATCGCGCTGCCCGTGCCCGTCATCGTGTCCAACTTCAGCCGCATCTACCACCAGAACCAGCGTGCAGACAAGCGCCGGGCACAGAAGGTGAGTGACCCCAGCCCTGCCTGGGCCCTGTGGGGAACCAGGACACTGAGCCCTGTGGGACAGACATTGGCCCTGCAGGGTGAGCTGGGGGCTCCCTGTGCTGGCACCGCTCAGGCCCTGCTCAGGTCATCCCCTCTAAACCATCCCCAAATGGTTCCCACACCGTGGCCAAAACCTGCAGGGCCCCCAAAGGTTCTGGAAAGGGGACACAAAAACAAAGACAAACCCCCCCAGCACCAAACACAGCACAAACAATGCAAAGGAAGTGCCTGAACTCACACCCTGCAACAGGCACTGATGGAAACCCCAGAACAACTGCCAGTCCCCCCCCAAAACACAACACACAGCCCAAAACAGAACAAAATACACCACAGTAGTTCCTGCTTGGCTCTTCCCCAGGACTTGTGGTCTGAAAAACCATTGTCATCAAATTTCAGCTGCAGAACCCCCCACCACGTGTTTTAATGTTCCAGTGGCATCCAACTCTGAGCCACATTTCACACCAGCTTAATGTGGAAACCTCGCACACAACTGGATGGACTCTTGTACAAAGTTCTCCTATTATATGTCATAAAATTACACCCAGGTAATGACTCCTCTAACCATATTTTTAGCTCAAGGAAAATAAACTCATATGATCCCACAAAATTCCAATGCTGGCTGACCCAAAGTCCGACCAGGACAATTTATACATCCCACTTTGGAAGGAGAAGCTCCCATCAAATATGCACCACCTAAGGTCCTCATTCCTGCACATGCTGTACTGCTGGATTTTCGGCATCAGGAGCAACAGGGCTGTTATTACTCACCTTTCCTGCATATTGTCTGAAACAAATATATAGCTGTGTGCACATGAACCCTTAAATCATCCCCAGGAGCTGTTTATCCTTCCGGCTGCTTTGCTCCTTGCTGTCTCTGTAGTTTCAAATACACCCATCCAGCAACATGGGCTTATCAGCACACAGCCCCTCAAAGCTGTGACTGGAACACTGGGAATACACAAAAGCCCCTGGAAATGTGAAGGGATTACTGAATATTCCAGATTCTGAACAGTTTTTGCCAGTGGAAGCTCACTGAGTCACTAAGAGAGTATAACAGATTTACTATATCTCTATTTCAATCTGCTAAATTACACCACAGCCAGAATCAGGTTTCTACAACAACTGCAAACCAAAGGCCTGAGGTTCTTTTTCTCCCTGTGGAATGCTGTCTGCCAGAAATCCAAGACTCAGGGGACCTGATGGAGAACAGTAGTAGGAAAATGTGTTATTTCTGCTTCAGGCAAGCATCTGGGCTTCTTGCATCTCAGGGAGCTGACAGCAGAGAGCTCAGATACAAGAGCTACAAAACCACAAAATTTGGCAGTCAAAACACAAAAGGGGAGTAGCAGAGAGACAGAACTGTGCAGGAATGAGCTGCAGCTGCAGAAAGTCACCGCTGGGTCTTACAAACCCCTGCCTGAGGTTTGACGTGGCACACATGAAATGGGTTTTGGAGGGAGAGTTTGCTCAGTCACAGGACACAAGAGAGATAAAAGGAGGGTAAAGGTATCCTAAAGCCCACCCTGGGGATCAGTGCATTTGGTCAGTGAATTTCAGTCATTGCAGAGTGAATTGTCAAGAGTGAGGCTTTGGGATTTCACCTGTGACAGGAACAGGTGAGATGTCAAAGCTTGGGAAGGAAAAGGATGATCAGGGAGAGATTTATGGGGACAGTGTTCAACAGCCCATTTCAAGAACTGAAGACTTTGAGAGGAAGCTCTTGTTCTGCTGAAACAGCACCAAAAGAGAGACAGAACCTGCTCCACAGCCCAGCCCAGGCACAAAGCCATGGGCCAGACAAGAGCTGGGGCACAGAGAGGCTCCAGAACTGACTGCAGCTCTGTGCTCCTGGACCCTCTCTCTGGGCAGCAAACCAAGGCTTCTTCCTCTGAATCAGCTTTTCCCTTTATTCTTTGGCCTGTGATCCCTTGCTAACAGGGAAAAGTCCCACCACCTTTGATGGCAATATGATTGATTGCAGCTTTTATAAAGGTTTGCTGTATTGACACACAGAGTGTATAATTTCCCCCCATTTGAATTTCTAATTCCCTTGATATTGGTGGAATTTCTCAGTTAAGGAACTTTTCTGGAGTCAGAAGTGTGAGTAATTTTCACATGATCAGCACTGCATGAATACTAAAAAGCAGGAAAGAGAGAGAATCACGTTAATGACAGTCCCTCTGGAGATGGTCAGGATGTACAGAGGGACATTAAGGATCTGCTTTGATACCACACTTGTTCCAGCATCATCCCACACTGAACTGAATCCCATCTTCAGAAACAGTTAAAACTCTGCCCCCATCTCATTAAAGTTACAAAGATATTTGCATGGCTTTTCCAAGAAGGTTGGAAAAACCTCTTTGCTCTCTCAGTCCTTGAATATGAGGAACTCACCAGCAGAAGCTCCTTATAACAGAATTTAGGAGACAGCTCTGAATCAACAGTGTCTTCCTTTAGCACACCAGGAACTTAGTGAATTCCTGATCTCTTTGAATTGCAGTTTCTTGGGCATGCATTAGGATAAATGCTTTAAAAGTCCTGTTTAGTTCGAGAATCGTAACTTCTATGATGTACTGGTAGATTTCAAGATAAAGCTACAGACTTGAGTTATGTTTTTCTATGAACTCAGACTGAGGTTTTCCAGTGACAAAGGCAGAAATACTGTGCAAGCTTCAGATTGGCTGGACTGGCATTGCCAGGTTGGAAAGGAGGGGTGTGAGAGGAGCTGGACTCTGCAGCACCAGGAGAACACAGCCCAGCCCTGGTGTCCCCTGGTTCTGATGTGCTCAGTCCTAACTTTGCCTCTCAACTCTTGAGGGGGCTCTGGTCTAGCAGGAAGAGGTATTTAAGTAATGTGAATAAAATACCAGGAGGTGGTTGTTACTCATCAGCAGCTATTCTTCAACTATCTGAGGAGAAATGTTCCTTAAAAAGAAAAAAACCCCCACCAAATACAAAACCCAACTACCAGTGATCTAATCACTTTAAAGATAAATTATTCTTTGCCAAACCTGTACTGTGAGACAATTAATTATACAGAGATCTGGCAAATCTTAATTCATTGTGCTGTGGCATCAAATTCTGTCCTCTGGCATGCAGCAAGGAGCGGGTCAGTGTGAATGGAGGAGGAATTGATCATTTGTGACAAGGTTCATTTTGGTAAAATTGTTGTGTTTTTCTCCTTCCTCAACGACTCTTTTTTCCCCTTTTTTGACTGATGTGCTAAGAATAGACCTTCCTGACTTTGAAATGATGCTGTTCTTTAGTGAATGTCACAGCCTTGGATTTAAAAGGGAACGTGACACTTAAAAGGCTTGACAATAGAACAACTTTGTAATTCAGATGATGCTGGAGGAGCCCCTCTCGCTGTGCTCAGTTTGCAGCAAAGATGCTCCACGGAGGAGGAGGAGACGGGAGCTGGTGCTGGGTGGAGGACAACACCTCCCACTTGCCCACCCTGGCAAGGAGAGGCAGAGGCAGCTGCTGACAGCTCCTGCAACGCTGCTCCTTTAGCAGCAGCGGGGAAGGAGAGCAGGCCACTGTTTGTGAGCTGGAGAAGGGGTGAGCACAGAGCCCAGGCACAGAGTTATTGTCCCCAGCAGGGACAGGCAGGGCTGGGGCTGACACGGGGGACAGAGCCACAGGGGATAAAAGTCAGCAGGGTTGTTCTGGATCAGAGGTTCAAAGGTTCAAAGGACCTCACAAAGTGAGGTCCCACAGCATCAGGAAAAATGTAAACGTTCAGATGTTGGGGGAAAAAAAAGAAAAACCCAGCCCTGCCTGAAGTGCATTTATCATTGAATAGTGAGATTTGCTAAATGAGCTGGGATAGCTGATAATGTCAGGGGGATTGGCATGGCCTGGTGCTGCATTTCACACGGGCCACACCGAAGCTGCCAACAGATCCAGAGGCTGGGTAATCACAGTGCTTGGTTTCAAGCCTGCAGTAAATGTGCTTTTGACGACTACAGCCTCTCAGGGTGTTCAATTCATTTCATTTATTATCTGGTGCCCTTTGGCTCCCTGAGAACAAGCAATGTACTGCCAAAGCCTCGAGACAGACTTCTCATTCCCTCCTGCAGGCTGCAAGCTTCCAGGAGAGAACCAAACACAGATTCAGGCAAGGCAAGGACTACCCAGGACAGAATCGTTTTGCAGAGCTACTCCCACGTAAAACTAATATCGAGCTGAAAACTGTGTCCCAGGCTGTGAGAGAGCAGAGGGGATAAACTGGGCAGGGGAAGTGGACACATTGTCTGGGGGATGAATGAAAGCATCAAGCACAGAGCAGTTCCAGCAGCGGGGAGAAGCTGATGGGAGGAAGAGGACGGAGGGAGGGGATTCCATCTCCTCGGGAGATGGTGGCACACAGGCAGCTCAGGAAGAGGTAACTATGGAGATGCTTCAAAGGGGCTCCAGCCAAAAGGAAGGGAGAGCAGGGACACAAATGTCTGATTGCTCCTCAAGAGGATGCAGGAGCAGCCTGTTCCAGACCCTGGGAAGCTGCAGCAGCAGAGCTGGGAAAGGGGAGAGGTGCTGGGAAAGGCTGAGCTCTGGGTTTGTGTCATCCCCACACCCTTGAGGAAGACATCCCACACACCTGTCAATAACCAGGCCATTATAATAATTGATTTGCTACAGAGCAGGGGAGTCGGCTTTGAAATGTTCTGTTTTTCAGCTGACACCCTAAATTTTGGAGGTGGGTTACTGAACTTCAGAGCGTGGAAAAGAACGGCCAGAAAAAGTGACTGGAGCTGTCTAAGGAGAGCTCAGCAACAGAACATGACTCAGTTCCAGCAGGGGATGGGGTTGGGAACTTAGGGGGAGAGAGAAACAATAAGGTTAAAACTGGAGCTGGCTGACATTTAAAGAACATGTTTTTTTCAACCAGAATGAATCTGTGTGGAATATGTTTTTGTTGTTGTTGATATTTAACAGTCTTTGACAGGAGGAAAAAAG